GATGGGGAGTTTCGCCTCTTGTTGGCCCTGCAGGCTTGGAGCGTGCAATGGCACTGATCTCGGCGTACACAACCTCCACCTCCCCAGGTTCAACCGCCGTTCTCCAAAAAAATACCAAGAGCTTCTAAAATGAGGAAAGCACAGGTCATCTGGTAGACCATCCAGGAAGGATAACTGATTTCTCTCATACAGGATGCAATTCCCATAGTAGGAATAAAACAAGATATATGCAGCAAAATTTGACAGAACTGAAGGGAGAAATAGACAGTTCTACATTAACAATGGGAGGCTTTAAAACCCCTCTTTCAATTATGGAAAGGCTGAGACAGAACGTAAGTAAGGAAATGCAGAATGTGAACACACAAGGAACCAGTTAGATCTCACAGACATGCAGAAAATGAACTGAAAACAGCGTGCACATTCTTCCCCAGGGCACTACTTCTGCCTCCTCCCTCCCCGCTGCTCCTGATCCCTGTCCACAGACCCACTTCCCGCGCTGGTGTGATCCTCGTGGCCACTGTGGCCCTTACTTTGGAGATCCTGCTGTTCCAGTCCTTCCCGCCTTCCGCAGAGCTGTACTCCTCCTTCTGAAGAAGCCACCTGGGGCCCATCTTCCTGGCTCCTCAGAGTCCTTGCAACAGCAGGCACTGCTTCTCTCTCCTGCACTCAACCCCTCTCCCACTCCACTGCCTCTCAGTGTGCAAAAACACTAAGAAGTGTCCCGTATTTTCAAAATCTCTCCCCTGTAGTTCCCACCTGACTTCTAGTCGTAGGTGGCCAAAGTACAATGTCTTTGAAGGATTGTTTTCCAGTGCCTGGAATATGGTAGGATCTCAACAACTGTTGTTTCAATACAGGAATTACCAAATGGGTGAATACTAATGTAACAATATCAGTTCTGGTTTCTTTCATAATTATTATTCTAATGAGTGTTAGCTTTCTTAAAAAATCATTTTCACAATTGGACCTAGACATTTTATCTTTCCCAGCTCAAGACGGATAAACGCAGAATGACAGGCCAGGCACGGTGGCTCATGCCTGTAATCCCAGCACTTCGGGAGGCGGAGGCCGGTGGATCACTTGAGACCAGGAGTTCAAGACCTGTCTGGTCAACAGGGTGAAACCCCATCTCTACAGAAAATACAAAGAAGTTAGCAGGGCGTCGTGGCGCTCACCTGTAATCCCGGCTGCTCGGGAGGCTGACGCAGGAGAATCACTTGAGCCCGGGAGGCGGAGGTTGCAATGAGCCGAGATCGCACTACTGCACTCCAGACTGGGCAACAGGGTGAGTCTCCGTTTCAAAAAAAAAAAAGACGCAGAATGATAAATTCTTAATATCTTAATGTATAATGAGAAGTGTAACTATTCAGAAGTCCAAGCACTTGTGTGTGCGTGGTGCTATCGCCTTGCTGTAGGCAAACCTACATGGGAATCCACCTTGACACACAGGCCACTTCCTGAGCCTGGACCGTCTCAGAGCTGGGGAACTGGCCCAGTGCAAAAGGGTCGGGAGCATCTGGGACAGAGACTGCGCTCTACCAGCTTCAGTGACATGGCCTCCATCCACGCTCCCCAACTTAGCAGAGAGAGCACACCATCAGACTTCTAAGACTTAGTTGCCAAGAAGTGTTGAATTAAACTCTCTGAGACCTCTCTTTGGTCTGACTCTGGCAGCCTCAGTTTCCCAGAGCCTGTGGAAACTCGGCAGCCGAGAGGCGGAAGGCTGGGCCACGTCCGGAGAAGAAGGAACCTGGGAAATAACTTTTCTCTTAGGATCTGGCTTGATTCTCACGGGCACAGCCAAGTCCCTGCAGACCCAGCAGAGTTCTGAAGCGCGGCGGGGCGCGGTGGGGTGGGGCGGGGCGGGGCGCGGCAGGGTGGAACGCCCCAGGGCGGGGCTACGGAAGCTGGCGAGGTCCAGCCCCGCCTAGGGCCTCCTGACGTTGCTCCCTGAACACTCGGAGGTGGCGGTGGATCTTACTCCTTCCAGCCAGTGAGGATCCAGCAATCTTCTCCGTGCCTCCCCCCGCGCCTGTTGGTTGGAAGTGACAACCTTGAAGATCGGCCGGTTGGAAGTGAAGACCTTGAAGATCGGCGGGGCGCAGCGGGGCCGAGGGGGCGGGTCTGGCACTAGGTCCTGCCCCTGCACGCCAGGAACCGCAGAGGAAGTCGCAGTTCGGCCCAGCTGAGTCCTGTCTGCAGAATCCACACCAACCAGCATCATGTCCATGACACTGGGGTACTGGGACATCCGCGGGGTTAGTGAGGGTCCGCTGCACGGTGGGACTGGGCGCGTGGGCGGGAAGTGCCGAGCGGTTGGGGACCGGCTCTAGGGACGGTTCCTCTTTAGGGCTATCTCTCACAGGAGGGCCTGTGCATGCCTCTGTGTGTGTGTGTGTGTGTGTGTGTGTGTGTGTGTGTGCCGGGGAGGCGGAGAGGGGTGCAGTGCAGTGTAGACTGGGGGAAGAAGAAGGGCAGGTGCGTAGGTGCGTGCAGTGTAGACTGGGGGCTCGCCTGGTGCAGAGAAATTCACCAAGTCAGGGACCCGCCATCTCTGACCCGAGCTGCGGGCCATCTCTCCCAGCTGGCCCACGCCATCCGCCTGCTCCTGGAATACACAGACTCAAGCTATGAGGAAAAGAAGTACACAATGGGGCACGGTAATGGGCACCCTCGTGTCCGGCCCCTGCCCACTCCCGCTGAGTTGGCACCAAGCAACCCATGGTGGCCACCTGTGGCTGCCTCTGCAGGCCTCCCCTGCTGGAGCTGCAGGCTGTCCGTTCCCTGAGCCCTGGTGAGGGAGCCCTCTGGCCTTGCAAGGCAGAATGCTGGGGCGGGATGCTGGGCCCCTTGTCTGGGTAACTGGGACGGGTGTTCCTCAGAGCTTGCTTAAACCCTGGAAGCCTTAGTCGCGTGGGGTCCAGAGCCCTCACCGGGATTCTTTCTCTCTGAACCCTGAGATGTGGGACTGAGTGGTCAGATTCTAGATCCCCCTGTCTCAGGGGTCTTGCCACTGGCTCCTTGGGAGGGTCCCGGGGAAGGAGGGCTGGGCTCTGGGGAGGTTTGTTTTCACTTCATCTTCCCCACCACAGCTCCTGACTATGACAGAAGCCAGTGGCTGAATGAAAAATTCAAGCTGGGCCTGGACTTTCCCAATGTAGGTGCAGGGGAAGGGGCGGTTTTGGGGGCAAGTGCAACGTGTCTCTGACCGCATCTCCTCTCCCAACCTAAAAGGGGTGGGAACAAGAAGCCTCCGCCCAAATCCCCTCACTCCTGGCTGTCTACACAGCCCTTCCATGATGATCTGTGTCCAAGCTCATTCGTCCATATGACAGTATTCTTATTTCAGGCCTGCCATGAGCAGGCACAGTGAGTGCCCGGTCTCCTCTCTTCTCATAAGTCCTTGCTTATGAGAAGGGGATGCTGAGGAACCTGGTGGCCCAACTGCACTTCCCCGGTTTCCCATTCATCCAGCTGCCCTACTTGATTGATGGGACTCACAAGATCACCCAGAGCAACGCCATCCTGCGCTACGTTGCCCGCAAGCACAACCTGTGTGAGTGTGGTTGGCTGCAGTGTGTTGGGGGGAAGGTGGCCGCCTCCTTGGCTGGATTGGGGTGCGATGCTCAGAGTGAGTGTGTTTTGTGGGTGGCAGGTGGGGAGACAGAAGAGGAGAAGATTCGTGTGGACATTTTGGAGAACCAGGCTATGGACGTCTCCAATCAGCTGGCCAGAGTCTGCTACAGCCCTGATTTTGTGAGTCCCTCCCTGGTCTGGGCCAGAAGCCAGGCTTCTTGTATTCCCATCTACTCTGGTCCTATTCACAATTTGAACTCCTCACTGCTCTTGGTTCTCTCAGGGTTCCCTGTACTGTAGCAGAGTGACTGACATATCATTAAACTCTATAAAATAAAAACTTGAAATCAGTCCCCACCAATCATAGGAAGTCCGTACATCCCAAGCTAGAAATTCAGTTCCTAGACAATAAAGTCATGCATTCAGAATTCCCTTCACCTCTGACCCCTGACCTTTGCCACGGGTCATCTAACCCAGCTGGTTCACTCCATCTGCCTGTTTGGGGAATACGCAGACTCACACTATGGGGTAAAGAAGTACGTAGTGGAGAAGTAATAGCACCCTCCTCTGTGGAATTCCGTGCTATTCTTTTCCTAGTGCTTCTCCTTGACACGCACAGGGATGAATGCATTTTCCTAACAGGCAGCTCAGTGGCGGCCAGAGGGCCTTTGTTCCTCTGTCTCCTTCCACTCAGCCTGTCAAAATCCCATCTCTCCAGAAACTACTCAATGTCCATTGTATTATTCTGCCACTCCACTAGGAGGAACTTTCAACTTCTTTCTCTGAGCTCCTTTAGTTCTTTGTATCCTTGATTCTGCTCGTGTCTGGGTCCAGAGCCTGCCAGGTACTCAGGTGCTCCTGGGCTGACCCAGAGGAGTGTGGTTGGGAGGTCAGTGGGGACAGATTCAGGGATAGTGTTGCATTCCTCTCTGCCTTCCCATCGCCACAAAAGCCTCCAGCTACCCATTTGGAGTCTAATAAATGCTGGTATGTCCAACTGAAGCCAGTTCCAGCTGTGGGGAAGACGGCTGCTTGCTCGTGGCCAGCTGGGGCCATACGCAGAACTAGGGAGGCCGCATCTGTGCAGGGAGCTTGTGTCTGACGGTGGTGACAGCTGTTTTCTGCCTCAGGAGAAACTGAAGCCAGAATACTTGGAGGGACTTCCTACAATGATGCAGCACTTCTCACAGTTCCTGGGGAAGAGGCCATGGTTTGTTGGAGACAAGGTAATGGGGGCATGTGATGGGGACACTAGAGATTTGTCATACATCCTATGTTACGGAGGTTCCAGCCCACACATTCTTGGCCTTCTGCAGATCACCTTTGTAGATTTCCTCGCCTATGATGTCCTTGACCTCCACCGTATATTTGAGCCGAAGTGCTTGGACGCCTTCCCAAATCTGAAGGACTTCATCTCCCGCTTTGAGGTGATGCCCCCATCCTCCTTTCTCTTTGATGCCCCTTGGTCTGTTACCTCCTTTGAGATGCTTTCCCAGTCCTGGAGCTACACAAAGAATAACTTGCATTTATTGAGTGCTGGCTTCATGCCAGGAACTGTGCCCAGCACATTATACCTATTGTGTGGAATTTGAACTTTACAACATTCCTACAGGGTGACAGAATTATCTTGCCCATTTTAGAGATAAGGAAACTGAGAATGAGAGGGTCAGGCCTTTGCTCAGGGTCCCAGAGCCAGTGGAGACTGTGCTGGGCACCCTGTGAGCCTCTGGATCTATGGGTGGCAGTCAGGGCTCTCCCTTTTGTGACAAAAGAAAAAAGCCTCAGGCCTCATCCAGCCTGGGTTTCACAGCCCAGGACGCTTTGGAAGAGGCAGAGAACTTTAGGAGTGCGGATGCAGCTGGCAATAGTAGGACTGACACACGGTGGCATTGATGTCGAGTACGAAACCCACAGGCAGTATTCATAGCTACCCCCAGAAGCTTTGCACGATTGGACCCCCATGTGGAAAATCCTGAGAGCCAGAGCTGTGGCTGGAGCTAGATTAGGCTACATATGTGGGTGCCCCTGTTGAAGGAGTGTGTGTTGAAGTGCTCTGTGCTGGGGCAGTGTCCTTCTTTATCTTTCTTCCTCTCTTTTTTCCCTCCAATGTTCCAAGTGTTCCCCCTGTGAGATGAGTAGCACACTGATTTTACTCCTATTCACCGACCTTCTCCTCTGCGTGAGGCAGGGTGTGAGGCACAGTGGGAGATGCATAGATGACTGCTTCATCCTGAAAATGAGTGCAGTGAGAGGCCTGCAGTGCAGGCAGAGCAGCCTGTGAGGTGTGTGTGGCACCACCTGGGTACCGGGCCCAGGGCCTGCCCCCACTCACGGGGAACCATCTCACCCGTGCTGAATTTGTTTGAGAGCAGCAAATCCTACTTTAGTACCGATTTGGGAATTTGAGGCATTAGTCCAACAAGTTTTTCAGCCTAGAATTTGTTTTCCTTTCCCACTCCCCATCAAGAGATCTGGTTACTCAGCTAGTTCCCATCAGCCCTGGCTCTGGTCCAGGCTGAGTGGCCTTGGGGTTATGTAAGAGGTGGTGGGAGGGGAGGAGAGCTGAGGGCTGCAGCATACGGTCCACCTGGGCGTGGCCCTTTGGGAATAGGCAGCCCTGGCTCTGACTGAATCCTTAGAAATTACATGGCCATTTGATCCTGGGAAGATGGTACAGAGCACACCTGAGTGTCATACAGCCTGGTCTGTGGCAGTGGGGTTGGAGATGAGGTGGGTTAGGGCACAGTAGTATTTAGCTCAGGTACCAGGCGGGGAGGTTTAGACTTTCTGCTTTACAAGGAATGATTAGAGCCTGGTCTGACCTTTCTTTTGCTGGCGCAACACACCTCGTCCACTTTCATCCAGGTTTTGCCGGGTCCTTGGGTGAGATCTGGGCTCTCTTCCAGGCTGCACGGACATTTTCAGATGACCCCTCTGTGTGTGCAAACCTAGGCAAGCCAGGAGCCTCCCCGTGAAACAGGAGAATGTTGTGCAGTCAGAGAGCAAGAGGACCTCCTGAGGGATTTGGGGGAGGATGGGAATTTGGCAGAAAGATGCCAGAACTGGAGAGAGACAGAACCAGGCTACACTGCAGCTCTGTCCCCCTTACTAGCTATTTGAGTGTGAGGTAGTTGCTGGACTTCTGTTTCCCACATGAGAAATGGTGATAATAGATTCAGCCTTGCAGAAGAGTCAAGTGGATTTTCTAAGCTTATGTTGTAATTTCTCTTGGATATAGACCACCCAGCACAGCGTAGAATCTTCATAAGTGGTAGCTGTTATTATGGTATGACATTATTTCAAGGAAATTGGAAGAGTTAACTCTGCAGATCTGGGGACCCTAAGAGGCTGTGTGATGCCACAGCACTGGAGCCCACGTGGAAAGGCTGTGGCCAGGGCCCTGACCTGCTGTGTCTGCAGTGGGGCTGTCCCCATGGGCAGCTGACCTTGAGCTCTGGCCTTATTTTCCCCCGTCTCAGGGCTTGGAGAAGATCTCTGCCTACATGAAGTCCAGCCGCTTCCTCCCAAAACCTCTGTACACAAGGGTGGCTGTCTGGGGCAACAAGTAATGCCTTGGAGGCCAGGAGGTGGGAGTGAGGAGCCCATACTCAGCCCTCTGCCCAGGCTGTGGAGTGAAGCTGGACTGTGCATCCCAGCACCTGGCTCCTTGTCCTTTTCTCCTGTTTATTCCCATCTTTACCCCCAAGACTTTATTGGACTTCCTCACTTCCCCTAAACCCCTGTCCTATGCAGGCCCTTTAAAGCCTCAGCTACCCACTTTCCTTCATGAACATCCCCCTCCCAACATTACCCTTCCCTGCACTAAAGCCAGCCTGACCTTCCTTCCTGTTAGTGGTTGTGTCTGCTTTGAGGGGCCTGCCTAGCCCCTCGCCTGTGGAGCTCAGCCCCGAGCTGTCCCCGTGCTGCATGAAAGAGCAGCATTGACTGGTTTACAGGCCCTGCTCCTGCAGCATAGCCCCTGCCTTAGGCCTACCTGATCAAAATAAAGCCTCAACCACACTTGCTATATATAGTCTTGTCTTATTTGCTCCTGGCTGCCCAGACCGTGTCTGTCACTGCTCCTTCCAAGGGACTGGCTGGTGACCCTGGCGGTAGCTGGGTTCATAGAGATTATGATGGGCTTAGTAAGGTGTTTCTAACTTTTTTTTTTTTTTTTAAACAAAGTCTCCTGCTTTCCAAGGTGAAGGGCACTGGTGGGATCATAGCTTACTGCAGCATCCAGTCCTGGGCTCAAGCAGTCCTCCCACTTCAGCCTCCCAAATGGCTGAGACTATAGGTGTGCCACCACACCTGGCCATATTTAAAAAATTTTTGTGAGATGGTGTCTCTTTATGTTTCCCAGGTTGGTCTGGAACTCCTGAGCTCAAGCAATCCTCTTACCTTGGCATCCCAAAATGCTGGGATTGCAGGTATGAGCCACCACGCCTGGCCCTGTTTCCAACTTCTTGATCCCTTTTCTGATCGCCTTAGAGCAGGAAGCCACATAAAGTGCTCTATAGAAAGGATGCCTCTTTCTGGGCCTAGATCTTCATTTATTTATATTCAGTATTATCCAGTGCTTTCCATGGTTAGGCAGAGCTAGTCTCAGAGAATAAGTCTTAGATGCCTAGAGGTGGTGGAATTCCCGTCACAGAGAACAAGGATCCTTCTGTTTTCCACACTGTCTGACTCCATCACAGCTCTTAGATCTCTAGGGCCCAAGCTCTACTGTGAGCTGCTCCACCGGAAGGTTCTCCCAGCTCAGCAGTTCCCAAGCTATGTTACCATGAATAGTTGTTGATTTTTTGGGTCAGGAATTCAGGTAATGCTCAGCAGGGAGAACTTACTACAAATCAACAAAGGTCTCTTCTCCAAAAACTGTATATCCAAAAATACAACCCATGACTGAAAACTTGAACAGGCATTTCCCAAAAATGAATATCCAAATGGCCAATAAGCTCATGTGAAGATGCTCAACATCATTAGACAACAGAAAGTTAAAAACCCATAGATCCTACTGTATCCCCACTAGAATGGCTGACATTGAAAGGACTGACAATTGTTGGTAATTTGTGGAGTAACTGGAACTGACATGCCTTGCTGGTGGGAGAGCCACTTTGGAATACTGGCAGTGTCAACTAGAGCTAAATATGCATCTACCCAGGACCCAGAAGTCCCACCCTACAGGAATGAGTCCTAATGGATTCCAAGAGCCAGGTATAATGATGCCAAAAGCAACTTTATTTTAAATAGCCAATAACTGAAAACAATCCAAATTCCCTGAATAGAAGAATGAGCAAATGAACTGTGGTTTATCAGCATAATTCCATTATTCGTATAATGGAATACTTACTCTGCTATAATAAAAATAAACGTGCAAACGCTATGTGCAAAAACATGGATGGGTCTCACAGACATGTTCAGTAAAAGGATCCAGACAGGAGAAAGGACACACGATCTCATTCCACTTACACGAGAATCAGGAGAGGGAAATGAGTCCATGGTATCACAGGTCAGGTGATTGGTGACCCTGGTGAGAACTGGAAGGTTGCCTATTGAAGGCGCCTGGTGGAGTGCTGTAAGTTTTCTCTCTTTATCTGGGAGATGATTCCAGAAGAGTATACAAGTAGAAAAACCCACAGGGTAGCACACTTAAGGCCTGTGTGCTGTATGTATATTACACTTCAATGAAAAGCATGCACATAAGTCTTATACCATCTGTGTGCTTGTGTTTGTTTGCTTTTCCTCATAAGATATCAACATCATGAGAGGATGTGTTTTTGTCTCTTCTTGTTCACTGATGTTACAGGTGTTTGCATATCACTTAGGATAGTCCCTGAGCATAGTAGGTTCTCATTAAATAGTTATTAAGCAAATTATACACTTATCATAGTGTGTCACTTCAAATTCTCTTAGGTTTGTATTCATGCCTACTTCTTTCAATAGGTGAGATTGATGTGCATACACACTCTTAGGTTCTACAGTTTTTTTCTCTTTAACATTTTACTTAAGAATCTGTACATGTTGGCAGTCTATATGCATGCCTATTTCTAACATTTAATGACTATCATTACTTCCTGTGGATAAATTATAGTTTGCCTAGTCATTCTTACCCTATTGGGCATGTGGATTTTTCTAATTTATTTCTTTTTATAACAGGGTGATCATGTTTAAACTAATTCCTTCTCTGGTTTTTGGTTACTTTATTTGAGTTGGTCCCCCAAGGCAATTACTACAAGGCAAAAGGTGAGGATGGTGTTACAGTGTTATCGTAGATAAATTGATTGCTCTCCAGAGAGAATAGCTTTTTTTTTTTTTGATATGGAGTCTCGCTCTGTCACCCAGGCTGGAGTGCAGTGGCGTGATCTCAGCTCACTGCAAGCTCCACCTCCTGGGTTCCAGCAATTCTTCTGCCTCTGCCTCCTGAGTAGCTGAGATTACAGGTACGCACCACCACGCCCAGCTAATTTTTGTATTTTTAGTAGAGATGGGGTTTCACCATATTGGCCAGGCTGGTCTCAAACTCCTGACAGGTGATCTGCCTGCCTTAGCCTCCCAAAGTGCTAGGATTACAGGCATGAGCCACTGTGCCCAGCCCAGAGAGAATAACTTAATTTATGGTGCCATCTGCAAGGCACATGGATCTTTCTGTACTACCTTAGGTACTTGAGGGATCGCAGTTTCATCTTATGATAATTTTAAAGATTTATAAGACTACCTTCAAGTTTTCTACCTTCACCTTTTTTGTTTATTGTGTGTGCATGTTTCTGCCAATGAATCACAGTCTATGAATCTACCTGTCTTTGAATCTCCTGTATAAAACTCTTTGTTTACCCATTCTCTACCTGTGGCTTAGTCAATTCCTGGAGAAAGGTTAAAGAATGATCTTGTGGCAGTCAAAGCTTTTTCTCTGATAGGCACAATGTAATTAATTGTGATTCTGTTCTAGGTTTCCTGTGGCATAATGTGATGGTTAATTTTCTGCATCAACTTGACTGGGCTAAGGGATGCTCACATGGCTGGTAAAATTATTGTGTTTGTGAGGGTATTTCCAGAAGAGATTCACCTTTGAATCAGAAGACTGAGCAAAGATTTCCTTCAGCAATGAAGGGGGGCATCCACTAAACTGTCAGGGCCCAGAGAGAAGAAAAAGACAAAGGAAGGGTGAATTTATCTTTCTGACTGGGACATCCATCTCCGCCTATCCTGGGACATCCACACTCCTGGTTCTCTGGCCTTCAGACTTGATCAGGGACTAACAGCATCGCCTCCCACCCTTACCTTTGTTCTGAGGCCTTTAGACTCTGAATGATAGCACTGGCTTTCCCCCTTCTCTATCCTGCAGTCGGCAGATCGTGGGACTTCATTCCAAAACTGTGTGAGCCAATTCCCATAACAGATAGATACATTTATAAATAAATGCACACATTTCCTACAGGCTTATCTTAGTGGCGTCACTTCAAAATTTGAAGAACCCTTTCTAGTACATATAGTAAACAACAACAACAAACAAACAAAAAAACTACAAGTGGGTCACCATCATCAATGAGTAAGTTTTAAAAAATCAAACACAAGATAAAACGCTACAGCACATCTATTACCTGTGGGCTTTTTCTATATGTAAAGAACTGTCTGAGATGCCTTGCAGTAAACGCCAAGGAGATTTTGAGGGAAGGTATCCTCTTTTCTCCTGGTAAATCTCCCCATTGACCATTATTTTAAAGGCTCCAAAGATCAAAACACCTGCTTGTACAATTTGCCGATTCATTTTGGGTGAGGGTCTCTGGCAGGCTTGGAAGGGTGGGTGAACAGTGGGAAGGGGGCTGCCTCTGTGGTGACTGGCATCACTCATATCTATGTCTGTGGCAGTCGTCAGGTGCTTATTATATATTCAACTTTTGGCCACCCCTATGGGGGTGTTAAATGCAGGGAGAGTCCAGCCAGGTCATTGCAAATTGGCAGTGACTTTTGAGACCTTTCTACACACGATAGTCAGGTAGATACCTTCTTTTTAAATTTGACTTTTTTTTACTTTTTTTTTTTTTGAGACAGGGTCTCACTCTGTCACCCAGGCTGGAGTGCAGTGGTGTGATCACGGCTCACTGCAGCCTCAACTTCTCAGGCTCCAGTGATCCTCCCACCTCAGCTTCTCAAGTAGCTGGGACCACAGGCAAGGGCCACCATGGCCAGCTAATTTTCGTGTATTTGGTAGACAGTGTTTCAGCATGCTTCCCAGGCTGGGTGGATACCTTCCAAAAATAAGTTCAGTTCATCCTGCCTAGCCTTACCCCAGCAGCTTAAAGGAATTACCCACTCTGGTGCTGGGCTCAGGCTGCCTGGCTCTGGAACAATGTGCTCAGAGCTGCAGGGGAGGCCTGCTGTCTGGCTGCCAGAGAGAGTCCCACCACTCCCTACCCTGTATCCTGGAAGACCAGACTGCCCAGCCTGTCCACCTAGTAGACCGTTTCCCTGCCCAGTTCTCCTTCTCTCATTCCTGATGAGCAGCTTGATGCCTGCAGGGACTGCACCAGCTGAGATTATCTCAAGGTCCTCCCTTCTGCCAGCTGGTGTCCAGGGAAGTGGGTCCTCTGGTCTCCTTCCTGCCACCAGAATTTTGAGGGCCTTGTTTCTCCCACTGCAGCTTTTGACCCATTCCTGGGTTCCTTCCCTCCCTTCCTTCCTTCCTCTCTCTCTCTCTCTCTTTATCTCTTTGTTTCTTTCTTGACAGAGTCTCACTCTATCGCCTAGGCTGGAGTGCAGTGGTGCAACCTCAGCTCACTGCAACCTCCGCCTCCCTAGTTCGAGCGATTCTCCTGCCTCAGCCTCCTAAGTAGCTGGGATTACAGGCACACGCCACCAGGTCTGGCTAATTTTTTCTATTTTTAGTAGAGTCGGGGTTTCACCACGTTGGCCGAGTTTTAGATGAGGGTTTCTTCACCTCAGCAGTACTGTCATTTTGGAGGGCAGAATTCTTTGTTGTGGTGCACTGTCCTGAGCATCGCAGGGTGTTCAGCGTCCTAACCAAACTCTACCCACTAGATGCCATGGGCGCTTCCCAGTGGTGACAATTAACAAAGTCTCCAGACAGACCTACGTGTCCCCTGAGGGGCAAAGTTACCTCCACTTGAAGACCAGTGATGTGCTGGATGGAGACTAGTATTAAAATAATAATAGAAATCATAATGTAACTCATGTACTTAAGGTAAGTCCTTTTTGATGGAACATTTTTTTCAGTTAATAATATTTGTATTTGTCTGTCCTGGTAGTTTGTTTTTTTTTTAACTTTTTATTTTGATTTAATATCAGAGTTTGAAAAATTTGCAAAAGGAATTAATACAAAGACCTCTGATTACCCCAGATTCTAACGTTTCCACATGGGCTTTCTCCTCCCTCCCCTTGAGTCCCCCAGCCCCTGCTCCCCACCTTTCTCTCTCCCCGCCCAGCAAGCTCCCTAGGAGCACAGCACCACTTATGACAAAAACATCATTTTCTTTTCTCTGAGGCGGCATTCCTGACATTTGGATTTAGGCTGATAAGTGACAGTTACAATCATCCTTGCCTGTGTTGTCCTTCCCATGTTAGGTCTGTCATGCCATGTGTGTCTGCAGTTTATAACAATCTATATCATACATGCCTTTTGAAAAGTTTTGAAAACTTATCCAGTGAATCCCTGAGCACCAAATGTTCTTTTGTGTTATTTTTCTTTATTAGGCTATTATTACTTTATTTAGAATCTCTCTCTCTTTTTTAGAGAGAGCCTTTCTTTCTTGCCTAAGCTAGAGTGTGCAGCGGCGCAATCATAGCTCAGTTCAGCCTCGAACCCCTGGGCTCAAACAGTTTCCCCCCCCCCCACTGCCCCCGCCGAGCTTCTGGGCATGGTGAGCTCTCTCCTGGAACCCTTGGGGCTGGGAGGTGGGAGGGGATCCTATTCCTTCCAGCCCCGGGAGCGCGCTTCGGGCCTCCAGATTGGCGCGTTTCGGGGGCAGAGCGGGCCGAGGGGCGGGGTCTCAGCAAGGCTCCCTCTCTACCCTCTCTGGGCCTCTCACAAAGTCTGAGCCCCGCCCCGCCGAAGCCTGTCTGCAGAATCCGCAGCAACCAGCACCATGCCCATGACACTGGGGTACTGGAACATACGCGGGGTGAGTGAGGGTCCGCTGGGCGGTGGGACGGGGGGCGCGGGGGTGGGGAAGTGTGGAGCAGCTGCGGGACGGGCTCTAGGGAAGGTTCGTCTTCAGCGCTGCCCCTCACAGGAGGGCCTGTGCTTGCCGCTGTGTGTGCGTGTGGCGGGGCGGGGTGGGGGGAGGTGTGAGGCAGGAAGGAGAGGAGGCGATGGGTATGTGCAGTGTAAACTGGGGGCTCCCCTTGTGCAGAGAAGTCCCCAAGTCAGGGACCCTCCATCTCTGACCCGAGCTGCGGGCCATCTCTCCCAGCTGGCCCACTCCATCCGCCTGCTCCTGGAATACACAGACTCAAGTTACGAGGAAAAGAAGTACACAATGGGGGATGGTAATGGCACCCTCGTGTCCGGGCCCTGCCCACTCACACTAGGCTGGCACCAAGCAACCCATGGTGGCCACCTGTGGCTGCCTCTGCAGGCCTCCCCTGCTGGAGCTGCAGGCTGTCCGTTCCCTGAGCCCTGGTGAGGGAGCCCTCTGGCCTTGCAAGGCAGAATGCTGGGGCGGGATGCTGGGCCTCCTGTCTGATTGGGTTGGGTGTTCCTCAGGGCTTGCCTAAACCCTGGAAGCCTTAGCCTTGTGGGGTCCAGAGCCCTCAACGAGATTCTTTCTCTCTGAACCCTGGGATGTGGGACCGAGTGGTCAGATTCTAGATCCACCTGTCTCAGGGGTCTTGCCACTGGCTCCTTGGGAGGGTCCCGGGGAAGGAGGGCTGGGCTCTGGGGAGGTTTGTTTTCACTTCATCTTCCCCACCACAGCTCCTGACTATGACAGAAGCCAGTGGCTGAATGAAAAATTCAAGCTGGGCCTGGACTTTCCCAATGTAGGTGCAGGGGAAGGGGCGGTTTTGGGGGCAAGTGCAACGTGTCTCTGACCGCATCTCCTCTCCCCAGCTTAGAGGGGTTAGGATCCGGAGTCTTCTGCCCAATTCCTGTCACTCCTGGCTGTCTACACAGCCCTTCCATGATGATCTGTGTCAAAGCTCATTCGACCATGTGACAGTATTTCTATCTCAGGCCTGCCATGAGCAGGCACAGTGAGTGCCGGGTCTCCTCTCTGCCCTTGCTTATGGGAAGGGGATCCTGGGGAGCCTGGTGGCCCAACTGAGCTTCCCCGGTTTCCCATTCATCCAGCTGCCCTACTTGATTGATGGGACTCACAAGATCACCCAGAGCAACGCCATCCTGCGCTACATTGCCCGCAAGCACAACCTGTGTGAGTGTGGTTTGTTGCAGTGTGTGGGGGAAAGGTGGCCTCCTCCTTGGGTGGATTGGGGTGCGATGCTCAGAAAGACTCTGTGTTTTGTGGGTGGTAGGTGGGGAGACCGAAAAGGAGAAGATTCGGGAAGACATTTTGGAGAACCAGCTTATGGACAACCGCATGCAGCTGGCCAGACTCTGCTATGACCCAGATTTTGTGAGTCTCCCACCCCACTCCCAGTCTCCCCTTTCCCTGCAGAGTTTTGATCGGGAGCCAAGACTCTGGTCCTGTTTTCCATTTGAACTCTTTAGTGCTACTCATCCTTCAAGCTATTTCCTATACTGCCACCAGAGTGACCCTCAAACCCCAAAGTCATGTCAAATAAAACCTCTAAATCAATTCCCCATCAATCTACTTACAGAATCCTGACTCTCCAGGTATGAATTCACTCTCTAGACAGTAATGGTTACTTCCAGAGTCCCCTCTATCTCTGACCCATGACCTCTTTCCAGATTCTCTCTCCCAGTGGTTTGGACCATCTCTCCCAGTGGTTTGGACCATCTCTCCCAGTGGTTTATATCTTCTGCCTGCTTTGGAATACACAAACTATGAGGAAAACAAGTGCAAAACAAAGGAATCTAATGGCACCTGCAATTTTGGTGTCTTCTGAGTGCTCTCTTGACATACAGTGAGATCAGCGAATTTTCCTAACAGGCAGCTTAGGGGCAGCCAGAGGCTCCTTTTTCCCCTCCTTTCTTCTACTCGTCCTCTGAATATCTCCTCATCTTTCCAGAAACCACTCAATGGCAATTGTATTCTTCTGCTGCCCCTCTAGGAGGAACTTTCTACTTCTTTCTCTGAGCTCCTTTAGTTCTTTGCATCCTTGATTCTGCTCATATCTGGGTCCAGAGCCTGCCAGGTGCTCAGGTGCTCCTGGGGCTGACCCAGAGGTTGTTGGGAGGTCAGTGGGGACAGATTTAGGGACAGTGTCACATTCCGCTCTGCCATCCCATCACCTCAGGAAGACTCCAGCTACCCAGTCAGAGTCTAATAAATGCTGATATATCCAATCGAAGCCTGGGCACTGCCCCAGTTCCAGCTGTGGGGAAGATGGCTGCTTGCCCATGGCCAGCTGGGGCCATGCACAAATCTGGGAGGCCACATCTGTGCAGGGAGGTTTTGTCTGAGGGTGGTGACAGCTGTTTTCTGCCTCAGGAGAAACTGAAGCCAGAATACCTGGAGGGACTTCCTGAAATGCTGAAGCTCTACTCACAGTTTCTGGGGAAGCGGCCATGGTTTCTTGGGGACAAGGTAATGGGGGCATGTGATGGGGACAATACAGATTTGTCATACTTCCTATATTATGGAGGTTTCAGCCCACATATCCTTGGCCTCATTCAGATCACCTTTGTGGATTTCATCGCTTATGATGTCCTTGAGAGAAACCAAGTATTTGAGCCCAGCTGCCTGGATACCTTCCCAAACCTGAAGGACTTCATCTCCCGATTTGAGGTGATGCCCCCATCCTCCTTTCTCTTTATGTCCCTTATTCCTTTCCCTCCTTTGTGATGCTTTCCCAGTCCTGAAGCTACACAAAGAATAACTCGCATTTATGGCCATGCGTGGTGGCTCACGCCTGTAATCTCAGCACTTTGGAGGCTGAGGCAGGCAGATCACCTGTGGTCAGTAGTTTGAGACTGGCCTGCCCAAATGGTGAAACCCCATCTTTACTAAAAAAACAAAAAAACAAAAATTAGCTGGGCGTGGTGGTGAGTGCTTGTAATCCCAGTTATTCAGGAGGCTGAGGCAGGAGAATCACTTAAACCCGGGTGGTGGAAGGTGCAGTGAGCCAAGATTGCACCACTGCACTCCAGCCTGGATGACAGAGTGAGACTCCATTTCAAGTGGGGAAAAAAAAAAAAAAAGAATAACTTGCCTTTATTGAGTGCTGGCTTCATGCCACGAACTGTGCCCAGAACATTATACCTATTGCGTGGAATTTGAAATTTTTAACACTCCTACAGGGTGGTAGAATCATCTCCCCCATTTTAGAGATAAGGAAACTGAGAATGAGAGAATCAGTCCTTCTTCAGGGTCTCAGAGCCAGTGGAGGCTGTGCTGGGCTCCCTGTGAGCCTCTGGATCTATGGGCAGCAGTCGGGGCTCTCCCTTTTGTGACAAAAGAAAAAGCCTCAGGCCTTGTCCAGCCTGGGTTTCACAGCCCAGGACATTTTGGAAGAGGCAGAGCACTTCAGGACCAGGGATGCAGCTGGCAATAGTAGGACTGACACATAGTAGCATTGATGTTGAATAACTAAACCCACAGGCAGTATTTGTAGCTACCTCCAGAAGCTTTGTACAATCAAACCCCCATGTGGGGAATCCTGAGAGCCAGAACTGTGGCTGGAGCTGGATTAGGGTACATATGTGGGTGTCCCTGTTGAGGAGCTTATGCTGAAATGCCCTGTGCTGGGGCACTTTCCTTCTTTACCTCTCTTCCTCTTTTTTTTTTGGAGACGGAATCTTGCTCTGTCGCCCAGGCTGGAGTGCAGTGGCGTGATCTCGGCTCACTGCAACCTCCGTCTCCTGGGTTCAAGTGATTCTCCTGCCTCAGCCTCTTGAGTAGCTGGGATTACAGGTGTGTGCCACCACGTCCAGCTAATTTTTGTATTTTTAGTAGTGATGGGGTTTCGCCATGTTGGCCAGGCTCATCTCGATCTCCTGACCTCAGGTGATCCACCTGCCTCAGCCTCCGTAAGTGCTGGGATTACAGGCATGAGCCACCGCGCCTGGCCTCTTCCTCTCTTTTCTCCCTCCAGTGTTCCACGTGTTCCCCCTGTGAGATGAATGGCACGCTGATTTTACTCCTATTCACTGACCTTCTCTGCATGAGGCAGGGTGTGAGGCACAGTGGGAGATGCATAGATGACTGACCCATCCTGAAAATGAGTACAATGAGAGGCCTGCAGGCAGAGCAGCCTGTGAGGTGTGTGCTGAACTTGTTTGAGAGCAGCAAATCCTACATTACTACAGATTTGGGAATTTGAGGCATTAGTCCATCAGGCTTCTGAGCCTTGAATCTGTTTCCCTTTTCCACTTCCCATCAAGAGATCTGCTTGCTCAGCTAGTTCCCATCAGCTCTGGTTCTGTGGTTCTGGTCCAGGCTGAGTGGCCTTGGAGTTATATAAGAGGTGGTGGGAAGGGAGGGGTGGAGGAGAGCGGAGGGCTATGGGCTGTGATGTGCCAGGGTCAAGCCTGTTGCCCAGGCTGGAGTGCAGTGGCGTGATCTCGGCTCACTGCAATCACCGCTTCCTGGGTTCAAGCAATTCTCTGCCTCAGCCTCCCGACTAGCTGGGATTACAGTTGCCCGCCACTATGCCCGGCTAATTTTTGTATTTTTAGTAGGGATGGGGTTTCACCATGTTGGCCATGCTGGTCTCGAACTCCTGACCTCAGGTGATCCACCCACCTCGGCTTCCCAATGTGCTGGGATTACAGGTGTGAGCCACCACGCCTGGCTGGATCTTTCTGAATACCTTATCTGGGCATTCAATCCCGGTAAGATTGTGCACAGCACATCTGAGTGTCTTGTAACCTAGTCTGCAGAGCAGGGCTGGAGATGCCATGGGTTAGGGCACAGTGAGATTTTACTCAGGTACTAGATAGAGAACTTTGGACTTTCTGCTTCAAGGGGAATAATTAGAGCCTAGTCTCACCTTTCATTTTCTTGTGCACTGCCACCCCACCCCGCCCTGCCACCATTCCACTTTCATCCAGGTTTTACTGAGACATTGGGTGAGTGTGTGTTGTGAGCCCGTTGTTCTGCTGGAGGTCCCTTCTGTGTGTCTATACCCAGACAAGCCAAGAGCCTCCCTGTGGAAAAGGAGACTGTTTGTGCAGTCAAGGATGACAGGGCCCGGTATGAGGGGTGGTGGGGCAGAAGAAGAAGAGATTTTGGCAGAAAGAGGCCAGAACCAGAGAGACAGAACCAGGCTACATTGTAGCCCTGTTCCCCTTACTGGGTATTTAAATGTGAGGTAGTTGCTGAACTTCTGTTTCCCACATGAGAAACGATGATAATAGATTCAGCCTTGCAGAGCAGTCAAGTGGATTTTCTAAGCTTGTGTTATAATTTCTCTTGGGTACAGAGCAGCCAGCACAGTGTAGAATCTCCATAAGTGTTAGTTGTTACTGTGGTACAGCATTGATTAAAGGAAGCTGGAAGAGTTAACTCTGCAGATCTGGGGACCCTAAGAGGCTGTGTGATATCCCAGCACTTGAGCCCACGTGGAAAGGCTGTGGTCAAGGCCCTGACCTGCTGTGTCTGCAGTGGGGCTGTCCTCATGGGCAGCTGACCTTGAGCTCTGGCCTTATTTTCCCCCGTCTCAGGGCTTGGAGAAGATCTCTGCCTACATGAAGTCCAGCCGCTTCCTCCCAAGACCTGTGTTCACAAAGATGGCTGTCTGGGGCAACAAGTAATGCCTGGAAGGCCAGGAGGTGGGAGTGAGGAGCCCATACTCAGCCCTCTGCCCAGGCTGTTGAGCGCAGCTGGACTCTGTATCCCAGCACCTGCCTCCCCATTCCTTTCTCCTGTTTATTCCCATCTTTACCCCCAAGACATTATTGCCCCGTCTTCACTTCTCTTAAACCCATGTAACATGCAGGCCCTTTAAAGCCTCAGTTACCCACTTTTCTTCATGAACATCCCCCTCCCAACATTACCCTTCCCTGCACTAAAGCCAGCCTGACCTTCCTTCCTGTTAGTGGTTGTGTCTGCTTTGAGGGGCCTGCCTAGCCCCTCGCCTGTGGAGCTCAGGCCCGAGCTGTCCCCGTGCTGCATGAAAGAGCAGCATTGACTGGTTTACAGGCCCTGCTCCTGTAACATGACCCCTGCCTTAGGCCTACCTGATCAAAGTAAAGCCTCAGCCACGTTTGCTGTGTGTCTTGTCTTATTTGCTCCTGGCCATCTACCCAGACTGTCTGTCTGTCTGTCACTGCCTCTTCCAAGGGACTGGCTGGTGATCCTGGCAGTGGCCGGATTCTAACGGAGTCTGCTGGGCATAGTAAGGCATTTGACAATTCTTGCTCCCATTTCTGACAGACTCAGAGCAGGAAGCCCTGTGAGGCTCTGTGGAAAGGATGTCTCTTTCTGGGCCTGGGTCTCCCATTCATTCATCCAGCCTTACTGAGTGCTTTCCATAATTACACAGAGCTTGTATCTCATTGAATAGGACCCCAAGGGGGTGGAATCTCCATCCGAGAGAACCAGGGTCCCTTTTACCTTCTCCACTATATGACTGCATCACTTCTGTTAGGTCTCCAGGACCCAATCTCTATTGTTTTCTCAGATGGCTTCCAGGTACCCTCTCCAGGCTTGCTGCACAGCTGTCATCAGGACGTTCTCTCTGGGTTTACTTCCTCTGTTTCCTGGGTACCTGTGAGAGAAATGTCTTTAGTCCTTGCACAACTGAAAGTGTCTTTACATGCTTACTGAATACTCTGGCTGATGTTTTAGTCTGTTCTCACACTGCTAATAAAGACATACCCGAGACTGGGTAATTGATAAAGGAAAGAGGTTTAAAGGACTCACAGTTCCACAGGGCCTAGGAGGCCTCATAACCATGGCAGAAGGCAAATGAGGAGCAAAGTCACATCTTCCATGGCAGCAGGCAAGAGGGCCTGTGCAGGGGAACTCCCACTTATAAAACCATCAGATCTCGTGAGATTATTCACTACCATGAGGACAGTATGGGGGAAACTGCCCCCATGATTCAGTTATCCCCACCTGGCCTCCACTCTTGACACCTGGGGATTATTACAATTCAAGGTAAGATGTGGGTGGGGACACAGCCAAACCATATCAGCTGGGGACAGAATTCTGTGATGAAAACCTTCAGACCTCTAATAGATTTACTCACTCTTTTCTAGAATTGAGCATTTCTGGTGAGTAGATGGATGCGTCTGACTGCATCCTTTGATTTTTTAAAGTTATTATTATTATTATTATTTTGAGAGGGAATCTTACTCTGTTGCCCAGGCTGGAGTGCAGTGGTGTGATCTTGGCTCACTGCAACGTCCCCTTCCCAGGTTCAAAGGATTCTCCTGCCTCAGCCTCCCGAGTAGCTGGAACTACAGGCACGCACCACTGTGCCCAGATAATTTTTGTATTTTTGGTTTAGAGACGGGTTTTCACCATGTTGGCCAGGCTGGTCTCGAACTCCTGACCTCGTGATCCACCCACCTCAGCCTCCCAAAGTGCTGGAATTACATGCATGAGCCACTGCGCCTGGCCATATCTTTTGCTTTTTTACTTAAGCTTCTACTGTTTGTCATTCTGAGGTCTGTAATTCCAAAGACTGCGTGGGGATCTACAGGTTGATGTCTTCCTGACTCACATCCTTGCCGGAACATTCTAGCATAGGCTTCCTCCACCCTGACAGCAATCCCATAGCTTTATCTGCATTGCATCTTCTTGAAGTAATTTAAAATCTCACTGGAGAGTGAGCTGCTTCAGAGGAAGAATCTCATAGCTTAGCAGTTCCTAAGTTTCAATGCCAGAAATAGTTGTTGAGTCTGTAGGTCAGGTATTCATGCAAGGCTCAGCAGGGAGAACTTGTTACAAATCAACAATGGTCTCTTCTCCAAAAACTATAGATCTAAAAATACAACTAATTAAAAAATGAGTCAGAATTTCAACAAGCATTTCCCAAAAGTGAATATCCAAATGGCCAATAAGCTCATGAGAAGGTGTTCAACATCATTAGACAGCAGAAAGTTAAAAACCCGTAGATCCTACTGTATCCCCACTAGAATGGCTGACATTGAAAGGACTGACAATTGTTGGTGATTTATGGAGTAACTGGAACTGTCATGCCTTGCTGGTGGGAGAGCCACTTTGGAATACTGGCAGTGTCAGCTGGGGCTAAACATACATCTGC